TATACATACATGTACAATATATACAATCATTTATGACATGGACTTAATCCCTATTTAAAACAGTACAGTACAAAAACATTCAGTCTGTGCAGAACATAACCAAGGAGGGGGAAAACTAAAACACCCCAAAAGCCCTAGCTTGACACCCTCGAGACCTCGCAGTGAGGCACAATGGTTGGCCTTGACAAAAGGGAGTCTAACCCACGCTCCTAGCTTCGATCTAGTGCCTGAACACCTACATATATATATATAAACAGTGAGCTAAAGCCCAATGAATAATATAGTGCGTAAAGAGGTTAAGAATGAATGTCCTTTCAGTATTGAAAACAGTCAATTGATTCAGTGTATCAGTCATTCCGTCATAACAGTCATATGTGGTACATCCATTAGCAGAACAGTACAGTAAACAGTAGGTCTTGAAAAACCGAACAGTCAATGATGGCTATCATAACAGTAAACAGAAGTTCCAAAATAGGAACTGACAGAGATCTCTGTAACAGTAGCAGTAACAGTAACAGTAGTTGCTAAGGATGCCACAATACAGTTCAGAATAAAGGACAAACATTCATTCAGTTAACAGTAAACAGTTCAGAAAGCAGTTCAGTTGATCATTTAGAAAATATTCATTTTCGAATATATCTTTATAACATTGTTACTCACAGAGTTCTGGGCTATAGATAAGCTAGTACGCGTCTCCAGATGCCAATCCTACACAGTTACAGAATGAACACACACTAAGCTACACAGTTGGGAAAATAGTAACTTAATCCTTATCTTGACTCAATGTGGTTCTACATCAATATCCTCATTAAGATGCCTTAAACTAGGCCTAAGAATGCCTAGAATGGAATGAGAATGCAAGGATGTACTTAGAAAATATTTTCAAGGCTTTCAGAAAACAGAGGTCCCGCTCGAGCGTGGGTTTCCCCACTCGAGCGGACATGCAAACAAAATTCTACACTCAAGCACAAGTTACCCCGCTCGAGCGGACTGTAAAACATGCCAAAAGTACTGGATGGATGAAAATCACGCTCGATGGGCGCTCGATACCTGCTCAAGCGTGTGACACAAGTCCTCACTCGAGCGTCAAATACCCTGCTCGAGCGGACTGTAAAATAGATGAAAGTGCTGGGAACACGATTTTCCCGCTCGAGCGCCAGTAACCTCGCTCGAGCGGAAGTCCAAATTCTGGAAATTCCAGATTCGAACCTCAAGCTCAAAACCAAGTTTTAAAACACCAAATTCGATCCTCTTGGGCCAATTTTCTGGAAAACTCTTCAAAACTCATAGTATAACATGTTTCAAAGGTCAATTTGAGAAATCAAAGCCCAAGGGTAGTTCAATTAAACACAATTTTGAACCAAATTTCAAGAACATTGCTTTAATGTGACATGCAAGTATTTAACCAAGATTAAAGCTTCAATTACATGCTCTAATGAGCTAATTCTTCCAAAAACATAGTAAAATCATGAACTATACTCAAAATATGAACATGCATGTGGCAAATTTGTGAAGAACAACTTCAAAATGCAAGAATGCATGCAAAGATTAAGCTTTGATTCAACAAATTAAGCTAATTCATGACCTTAATCTCTAGACTTCCATAAACCATGCAACATATAACTTGAATACATGAACAAGAAGGTATAATCTCTATCTTAAGCCTCTAATTCTAGGTGTAGGAGTCCAAACATGAAATCAACCTTCAATTTCCTCAAATCACCAAGCTAAAATTGTTAAAATCACTCTATTCCTCTCACTCTCTCTAGTCGGCTATAGCAAGGAGAAGGCTGATGAAATGTGTTGTGTCTAATGAGGAGAGCTCAAAAATGTTCCAAGTAATGGGCCACTAAGTGGCAAAGTTTTGGATTAAGCCAATTAGTGCAATTTATCAATATTTATTCTAATTTAATCATACCAAATCCCATTTCAAATAAATATGCCAAAAAAATCACATAAATTATGATACATATCACTAATCAATTTCAGATTCGGCCGCCGATAAGGCTTTCAATTTGCAGTTTAAAACATAAAACATGAACAAATAGTTTAACAGTCGAACAGATAGAGATGCACTTAAACAGATATAGACAATCAATCAGTTCAGGATTTCAGTCAGTCAGTCAATTAACATGTTTAGTCTCAGTTTAGCAGTAATCAGTGGTTAATCAGTGAACAATAGTGAGAGTTATCACACTTTCCTCTTTCTTTCATCTCAAAACCATCACCGCCGAGCCTAGGCCGGTCAAGCTCCTCAACGGTTCACTCACGTGGACCGGTGGGAAGCAACATCAGATCTATATTGGTGAGGGGTTTGGCAGGGGGTAGGGTTGTTGAACTCGAAGAGAAGGATTTTTTGGGGCTTGTTCTTCTTCGTTTTCGCTGTCGTAAGAGAAGGGAAGTCCGCCGTGTCGGCACCGTTGGCACAATGGTTCTTGTCTTCATTTTGAAGCTTCGATTCGTGCTCTTCAGAATCGAGTACCCAAGCGCCTGGTTTCACCCACGCACTTGTCACTGCTGATAACTGTGAATCATTCTAGGTGTTCCTGGACAAACATCTTTCAAACTAGTACTTCGTGTTATAGCATTTAAAAGTCATCACAATGGTAACTTTAAATTTTTTCTGAAGTCAGTTTCCAATGTTGTGGTAAGTGTTTTCTTATGGGGTAATTTACCTAATATTTACAGGTGAAGTTCACGGTTGATGAACTCTGTAGGATTATGGACTACAAACATAACATCCATAACATGTCTGTTATTGCACATGTTGATCATGGTAATGAAATATATCTCACATTTTTGTATAGTTTTTTGTTAACAAATGGGTACTTTATGCAAATAGTTTGGTGCCATTGTTTCTCTCTCTCTCTCTCTCTATCTGGAATCTCAAACTCTCTTTCTAGAATCTCTTTCTTCCTCTCTAATAGCTTTTGTTGTTTGAGCTGCGTATGTATGTCGGCCATTGGTAGTGCGAAATGTATAAATTTGAGCAATTTATTTGCAGTAACTTTTCAAATTAATAGATGACGCATTTTCTATGGGTTTCAACCTCTGGTCCAGAATTTTCTCTGGTGAGTACTTTACTTTGGTTATATACTATTAGTATATATATTACACTTCTCATTCTTTCTCTTCTATTCAACTGACAAAGGATTTGGAAATTTTTTTTCTGGTTTCAATTTTCTCTGGTACAAGATTTTAAATTTTCTTTAGTAAAGGATTTGAATTTTCTCTGGTTTCACAGAGAAAGGATTCTATAGAAGCAAACAATTTTGTTCAAAGAAATTTCAATTTTCTCTGGAGAAAAAGGAAATTTCTTTGGAAAGGAGGGAAGGCTAGAGAAATTCTCTGGAGAGTGGGTCAAAGAAATTTGAAAGTCTAGAGAAATTTTGTTTCTTGGTTGTACTCAGTGCAATAATTTTGTGCATGATCTGTCCGGTGTGCACATTTCTCTTTGCGTCAGTACTGGTGGTGGTGGTGGTGCTGTTTTACCTTTTTTTTTTTTTTTTTTTTTAGTTAAAAACCATAGCTGTTAGTTCTTTACATAATCTAGAAATTCCTCTGGAGAGAAACAGAGAATTTCTCTGGATTTGAGAGAATTTCTCTGGATAAAATTCCTCTGGAAAGTCCAGAGAAATTCTTTGGATCAAATTGAGGGACCTTAGACATTATAAAATTATTAGATGTCATTTATGCTATAAAATCTTAATACCAGGGATCTTTAAAAAAAAAAAAAACCCCAAAAATTAATATAATAAATTAATTTTTTTAAATGTCTATTTTACTCATATTAAAAAAAATCTTTTTTTTAAAAAAAAAAATTACTAGATGAGTAAAGAAAATTTGCAAAGAATTATAAAAATTCATTTAATAATAATACATATATTATTATACTATTAAACATTTAGATAATACTATGATACACAAGTTTTGTGGTGTTAATTATCACAAATATTATAATTAGATTCTTTTCAATCATAACTAAAAAAACATAGTAATAATTAAATATCGCATTAGACATAACTAAATACCTTTTGAATCCAAACCAAAATAATATTATAATCAATAATTATAAGTAATACCATAATAAGTCATAACCAAATATCACGACTAAGACATATAAAAAAAAATTAAATGATAAATTGTTTGTTAATTTTATATATGAAAACAAGCGTAAAATAGGCATATTTAAAATTAATTTCTTTTATTACATTTTTCTGTTAGTTAACTTAACGGTTGAGTAATAGAATAATTAAATTGTAATGGAAGTTTAAATCCTAGGGAAGGATGTAATTTTCACAACGTAATAGGGTACTTGTATTAGAGACAAACGTCAAGGGGTGCCAATGTAATTTATCCATAAATATTTTAAAAAATTATATATTTTGTAACAAATTATGTATAATAAATAATACTCGATTTTTTATTTTTAAAAAATAGCATTTTACTAGAAAGAAATAAATAGGAGATGAAACAGGTAGAAAGTGAAGTGAAAGGGAAAAAAAATATGTTTTATATGAATTTGATTATTATAAAAATTTTACAATGAAGAAAGAGAAAAAATAGAAATTCTAATTATAGGTAAATATTTTTATAACAAACTAACATTCCTTGTATTTTTAGAAGAAACTAGAAGGTTAGAAAAAATAGACGGCAAATATAATTTCAAAAATAATCATTCATTTTTTAAAGATAAATGTAATTCAAACATATAACTACTGAATTCCAATCGCCTTAATTTTTTATATGAATATTCTTCCCAACGAGTTCTAAAAAATAAATAGTTTGAATTACCGAAATTGGACTTACAATGGGCCAATTAAGCTCAAATGTCATCTCAAGTTAGATCCCCAATATGAGAGAAGCTAGATCTTTTATGTATATCTATATTGAGTTTAATGACTTAAATATTTTTTTCTATTGATTTTACTTAACAAAAATAGATTTTTTTTTTTTTTTTTGGGAGCCTAGGAGCCATTGGTGAAAAGCTATAAGAGAAATAACAGACGCAGAATATAGATAAATTTATTTATAATTTACTTATTTGTGTTTGATTAACTGTACAATTACAATGCTACCATGAAGCAAATTTACATTCTATTCCACTTTTTTGATAGCGTGCCTTTTTTTTTTTTGGGTTATCTGCAGATGCACCAATAACCAGAAACACGACAGGGCTTGATCAAACACCTCACTCAGATCTACAATTTCAAAGCAAACCAAGTTGTTTCAACAGCATGGCTTGAACTGTCTTCAGTGATCTCCTATGTGCCTGTGTTTACATCAACTGCAAAGCTCGGAACACAGATGCTCCAAATACGTAGTATCGTAAGTACCTTCCAAAGTGTAAAGTTTGCTCTTCCTATTGCTTAGGCATTTCAAGTTCAGCTGGTTTCCAGAGATGTTGGACTGCAACACCATCCATCGTACATGCACACAGGACAAGATCAGAAAGTAAGTACTAAAGCACAGATTGAACTCTCCATTCCAATAATAGACAAGCTCATCCTAAACCCATGTGATAAGAACTTTTTTTAGTTTTATTTATATTTGGTTCAGGACTTTCATTGCTAATCTTTCTTGATGTGTCTCTTTTTAATATTTCAGACTGCCCATATCAAGAGAAATGCAGTTTAATAACATGATGATTCAAAAATTGTCCCACACCTCTCACTGTTTGGGGAACAGGAAGATTGAGATACTTTTATAGCAATGATATTCTTTAATCGCTTATCCATATTCCACTTTCATACATTATTCGACACTCTTTTAGAACTAGTATAACAATCATGAGAGCAGTTGGTTGTTTCTATTTATTTCCAAGATGTAATTTTGTTTATTTGTGACATCATTTTAAAGTAGCTAACACAGCCATATGATCAGTAGTAAAAGAGGAGGAGAATCAAACAAAAATGTTTACATTGTTTTCAAGTTGGATGAGTTTTTCAAAAAAACTAAAGAAAAGAAAAAGGCCAAAAGATGAAATTCTTCAAACTATCCAATTAGGCTACAACACGTTATATTACACAGGGAGACTTTCCAATTTTAAAAATATTTTAATGGCAAAAATAAGATTCGTTGGAAAATGTGGCTTTTGACGGAAGAGTGCAAGAATCCTATAATGCACATATTTGATCATCATAAAATGTGTCATGTCTCTAGAGAAGCAAATAAAGCAGAAGCATTGGATTGGCTAGCCTAGATTGTGCATCAGCTCAAAGATATCTTGTGAGAAGACAAATCCCAATGGATTTTCTGACAGCATCGATGACATATTTGCTTGAGAGATCTCATTGTTTCATTATTTGTCATTTGAATTCTCATTCATCGCGCTCACACACACACGCACAAGAATGCACACCAAAAAGAAATAAATAAAGAATTGGCAGAATGAGTTAGTTCCCTCACAATACTTGTTCTGAATTTCATTTCCAAACAAATAAATAAAGAATTAGCACAATGAGTTACCTCACAATAGACTTGTTCTGAATTGCATTTCCAAAAAGGGGTAGGGACACATCTCAAATGATGACACCGAGAACAGTAGTTGTTCCCATCAACCCCGCTGAGGAGTAAAACTAGGCCAGCAGTAAGTCTGTCAAAATTCATGGCATTCATTAGTGACCTCCCTGAATTAATAATGCCCGCCATCACACCTTAAAATTAATAGGAGTTACCAGCATAAAGTGCAATGAAAATTCACAAAATGCAAGGTGCCTTTCCCCAAGAATTTCTGGGACTAGCAACACGAATTTGTTCAGCCAGTTTGCTGTAAGTAGAAATGTATGCTGCATTTTGGTTTAAGCATTTAAGTGCATGAGTCCACCTCCACTACTAGCACTGCCACGCCATCTTTGTGTGGACTATCGCATGCCATGTATTGGACTTGTGAGCCGACATGTGAGTCGATATCATATCTCCACTCCACATACTCCTCCTTGGCCAAGCCAAAATGACCAAGGCAAGTGTACACAATACCTCCACCTACCCAAGAATACTAAGGCTGGCTCAGTCAACGTATTTCCACTCAAGCAGTCATCTCTCTTGATTATCTCAATATAATTAACGCATCTCCACCACCAGGCAATATCAGCGATTGATTGGAATACCCCTTGGCTCACCTGAGGATTCCTGCCCGAATGATTATCACTGAGGTGACTATTCAGCTGCCCTACTTGGTCCCTAGTGATTGACAGTATAGCTCTTACCAAGAGGCTCACAGCGAGTGAATGTCTAAACCCAACACCCACAACCCCCTTCATTTATATTACAAACCTATACGACTTTGTCAACCCAGTCTAGGATGAAAGTTGAAGGACTTGTGGCTTGGAGGCTAAAGTTAAAGGATGCCAAGATTGCTAGGCCCATCCCCTTGGAGTGGCTTCACCTTGACTAGTCTTAGGGAGAGGAGTTTTCACCAAGACTCATGACACCTTGAAAATCATATCATACTAACCTCTGCATTATTATGATATGATCCCCAAGGCTTAACACACCTACCCACTACATCCTCGAGGTCTAAGCATAGACACAACAGATAGTTGGAACCTCTGTATTGTTGAAACAAGGGGTTGAACCATTTGTCAATGCAGAGTTGACCCCTGCAGTTTGATCTCCTTATAAAAAGGGCCCTTCCCCATGCATGCAATGCAATCAACATAAACAATCGACATCCTCCAACAAGCTCGGGAGCTTTCTCCATTGCCACTTTCTGTCTATCTAGGACCACTTGCACACTCAGATTTATGGTAAGGGGCCTTTTACAGACGGCTGAGGGCCGAGGCTGAAACCCAGAGCCCAAAGTAAATGGCCCAATCATGCTTCACCTAGGCCCATAGAGGGGTTCGGGGGTAGTCCCTTGGCCCAAAGTTTTGGAGGTATGTTTTGCAATTTTCATCTGGGGTTTCAGTGTGTAAGAGTGACCGTATTGTGAACAAGTAGAGAGGTTTAAAGCTCTATAATCCTTATTGCGCATAAAGGATTTGATCTCCTCTGCTTCGTGGACGTAGGACCTAGGCATATTGCTGAACTACGTATATCTTTGCGCTGTGTGTGCTTGCTTTTTTCTCTTTACTGTTTGTGATTAGAAGTTTGGAACCATTTGTTTTTTGCAAAACAACGGGCTGTCCTCATATCAATTGAAGCAGCTGGAATGTGAGTTGGAAAGTTTGAAACACATGCACACTACCGGAAGAGAAGCTGGTCCAGCTCTGTGCTATCTCCCCTTTTATGATTTTATAGTTTTTTAATCTCAAAATAAAAAAAAATAAAAAAAAGGCTTGGAATGAACCAATGTGAAGTAAAAAACAATTCAATGCAAATCAACTATACTAAAAAGAATAAGCCTCTACAAGAAAGAGACAAATAAAGCTGTACACATTGTGATAGACTATGCATAAAGAAGCATATTACTTTTCTTTTGAGCTAGTTAAGATCTAAGTGTATGGCTACATGCCTAGATAGAAACTTTGTCCAGAGTTTTACCCAGAATAGAAAATTGTGGTCCAGATTCAACTGGACAACTCATGTATTGTAGGGCTCATACTTGGAATGAATCTGGACCACAAATTGATGTTCTTGGGTAAAATTGTGGTATGTAGTATTAATTCAAGATCTAAGTATTCACCACTATGATATTGATAGCCAGAACAAAAACTAGCCTACAGATGATTAAGTATAAAGTTGTGATTAAGGTTCTTGCAAGTAACAAATAGTATCATCTGAACAAAAATATAACCAAAAGGGATAAAGAGAGGTTACCCGATAATAAGTACTATGAGAGCGATAACCAAGAATATAAACTGATACACCTTATATTTAGGTTTAGATTTGATCCCAATGTAACCAGGAGGAGAATATCTTTGCCTCACCCATGCATACTGTGGGCGAATCAAAAACACAAATCCAAGGAAAAATCCAGTAACAAATCCTCCAACATGTGCAAAGTTGTCCACATGAGGCAGGATTCCCACGGCTAAATTAATTGCAATGATGAGAATGAGAGTCAACAATGCTGCGAACTGATGAAAAATAAAAAATGTAAGATAATTTGAAAAGGTTATACCTGTTTCAAAAAGGGGATATAAAATAGCAAGCTCAGATTAAGAAAGTGTAGTTTTCAAATACTTTATTGGTATATATTGTCCAATTTGTAAGAAGTTCCGAAAGCATGCCTCCGAGTAAACCAAATAGTGCGCCAGAGGCACCCACAGAAATAGTTGTCCGGATGAACAAAGCTGACAATAAACTCCCGCCTAATCCAGATATAATGTACAGTAGCCCGATTCGCACTGTAGAAATTAAACTCAAATAAAATAAGGCTTCAAACTACAAACCTATACTTAAAAATCATAACAATAGCAGTAACAATGCAGCCTCATACAGGAACTTAGGCACATTCTTTTCATTAGTGTGAACATTTTGTTTAAAGAATCAAGGAACTTTGTTGTGCCCTCTTGAGGCTCTCTGTCTCTGGGCCATACTATTCCAAACTAGGATGAAATAACAAGAAAGAAATGTGTTTGTATACACTAATATCACTATTCAAAACTAAAGCCTAAAGGCTAAGAGCTTTAAACATGTTCCCTTTTGTATTAATAAATGCATACATCACTCTTTGGGAGGCCAAAGTTCTTTTTAGGAAAAGTTCAAAAGCTTGAATCTTGAGATTATTTCTGTTTCATTATGATCAGGACATAATTAATATTTAATGTGAAATAGGGAATTTTAATACACATACCAAACCCAAACTCCTCTTCAAGCCGGATGCCAACAAATAGCAGACTCACCATGTTGGCAAGAACATGGAGGACCCCAGCATGTAACCATGAACAACTGAGCAGGCGCCATACCTCGTGCTCTTCAACCACTTTCTTCACCTCAAGAGCCCCCATAAGTTGTAGCCTGAACAAATTAAACATAAAAATTTAGGCAGCATATAATCTCCCTTTAAGGGGTGGGGTGACCATTGGATCAATGATAAAATCTCGGCCTAATAACCTTGAAGTTATGGGTTTAAGTCTCGGGGCAACCACTTTGTGCACTATGCCTAAGGTTAGGTGTATAGCCAATATTTCCCCTCCCAAACACACATTAATGTATACTATTTGGGCATTGTTTTTTTTATAATCCCACAATAGAGCCATTAGTCATTACTGGATCTGTGAATGAATGTTGGCAGTTCACTGCTTCAGAATAAGTCAAATGGAAATAACTCTCCCTAACAACCCTATTAACAGCTAGCAAGTACAAGCTATGTTTGTTACATATATTCACATTCAACATCATACTTTCCAGGCAAACCTTGAACAAACTCTCCAGGCATGTATGTTAGGAGTATAGAAGATTGAACATGGTGTTGCCTCTTAACCATGGAAGAACAAGAAAGAAATTACAAGTGAACATAATAAAATTTTAGTGCTTTCTGAATGTATAGATGTGCACCCATCACTATTTCCCCATTACTGACCTCACAGAGAAGCTAAACTAACTTGATAAATTCATCATACCAGGCATAATGAAGCAAAATTTCACCACTGAAACATTTTAACAAGAAAGAAAATATCAACAAGAAGTCTAGAATGAAAGCATAATAAAAAAGACCAATAAGGCACAAACCAATTAAAGAAAAAGACTACTCCAAAAGGATTGAAATTTTTTTGTTGTCTTTGAGATTGAGAACGTTGATGTGTCTAGACTAAATGATAATTACTATAGCGTACCGCCATGGATAGTTACAAGAAGACAAACACACAAAATTAATCAAATTTGCTTTCATCGACTTTCAAAATTCCAGTAAGATGGCATTCTCACAGCTGCAACTACTTTCTTTTTTCAGTAAAATGCTTCCTATAGTGTTGCACGCAAAGCAAAAGCAATTCCAGAACAGTAATGTCAACATTAGAAGTTTCTATATTTTTATTTTAACTATTTTTGATCTAGTATTTGACAATGAATCTTGTAATACACTAGACTTACTAGTTTTCTTAATTTGTATTGATTTTGTTTTTCTAATTTTTAGGTTACTTGTTTTTCAAGAATTAGACTAATTTCTTAATTTTAGATTACTTGGTGTCCAAGATTGCTTGATCTCCAAGTCTTAGGTTATTATAAATACAAATATAAGTCTTAGGGAAAAAATATACAACACCTTATCAATAATATTCAGAGTACTCTCTTCCTTCTAGATTCAAGGCTATATCTTTATCATGGAATCCAGCGTCCTTTTCGTCTACTAGAACGATATCTAATTTCCAAGTGTATTCTGCTGCGTCAATTAGTCGTTATGAGTTACCAGAACTCAGAATCTACACTTCGAGTAGCCACTGGCACAGATAAACCAAAATGGAACCATACCGATTATAGTGGTTAAAAACTAGTGTGTAGGTCAGGTGAGGCAGTGAATATCACCAAAATTTTACCATAAGTGTCCTACTTGTTTAAAAAATCACCCAAATATTTTGGAGGCTAGAAATTACATTTATTACATTAATCATGCATATAGCTACAAAATTCAAAATTAAGTATACAGTCAAAATTTTCTTTTTGAAATTTTACAAAATTTGAAGAGAAAAATATTCCCACCCCAATTTTGTCTAATTCTCTTATTTTTGTCTAAATTCTAATACACAATATCAAGAACCTGAAATAAAAATAAAAAAACAACAATGCTGGAACAAAATAGAATCGCATAATCGAATCATATGCTAAAATTATAACTCATAAAACCAACCACAAAAACAAGGTGGAACATCTATATTAAATATCAAAGGAGAATTAAAAAAAAAAAAAAAGCAAATGAATTTAGGGGGCTTACGTGGAAGCAGAGGGACCGAGGAGGGGATTTTCTCTGAGGCTCTGAAAGGCGAAGCCGCCGAGGAGATCTTGGGCGACACAATCGGTGGAGTGTGAAGGGCAATCGTTGATGTACAAGGCGAGGGCGAAGAGGCCAATGTTGATGACCACGAAGGTGGGCACCATCCATGCGAAGTGGTTATTGTGTGGCGGATGCATTGGAGGAGATAGGGCGGAGTGCGGCGGCGGTGGTGGTGATGGTGGTCTGCTCCTCCTGCTAGTCCACCGGTGGAGAGGCAGTCCACATCGTCGATGGGCGTAGAAAGGAGAAGAGAGAGAGGTTGGGATTGAATTTAGCAGAGAATCTCCGTTTTGGGGATTGAAAGTGGAGGCTGGGTTTTGGAGGAAGAAGTTGGGAAGCCATGGATGGACAATAAATGGGGAATGATGGGAGAGAGGGAATTGTAAGCTAAATTTAGAGAGAGAAAGAGAGGACGGAAGAGGTGAAAGCACCGCATGGTGGCAGATAGATGGCTGATTCTATTTATTCTGGGTAGTGTTTGGGAAGAAAGATTTTACTTGCAACAATGATTGATATTTTTTTTTTTTTTTTGGTATGGCTTCTGTCCAGTCCGGGATTGTACTGGGGATTGGACTGTGTTGTTAGGTCTGTGGAGGTTTATTATAGGTCTTGTTTTGATAATTTGAATCGTTAATGTGTAGAACTCATCGAGTACTATATACTTATAAAAAATCACGTTGATCGGATATCGATAGTTATATGATCAAATCAGTTTCGTATTAAAAAAATTACACAGTGAACAAATTAACGGTTGACAAAAAACTGTTTTGATCACATAACTATCGATATCTGATCAAAATAATTTTTTACAGACATATAGTACTCGACGATTTCTACATATTCAACGATTCAAATTATCAAAACGGGACTCATGATAGCCCTCACAAGCCCAATAGTATGATCTAGTCCGATCCCAACGAGACAGAAGTCCTACTTTCTTTCTTTCTTTTTTTTTTTTGATCTCACACCTCTTGCATCTCAATTATTGGTTGTATAAGTTTTACGTATATGTGAGTGCGTTTCACCATATATACTAATTAGTGATAATTTGCGCTATATACCAGATTTTATAAATTAAGAAAATTATTATAATTATTTTAAAATAATTTAATATTTTATTTTATGATATACGTAAAATTTATATGTTAACTTTTATGTTTAAAAATTTAAAAATTATTAGTTTGAAAAAATTAAAAATATATATATATATATAAGTCTACTTAGTGCAATTTTAATAATTTGTATTAAAAAAAGTTAAATCTAATTAAATAAGAAAAATATACAATATATAATTTTATTATTAAATTTGAAGTGAAGTGATATTTATTAATAATTAATATGATGTTTCTATTAATTCAATAATTTAAGTTACATTTCTTTTTATTTCAATTTCATAACTAAAAATACAATATGAATATATTCTATAGTCTTTAATAATAATAAGTTTTCAAAATATTTTCAAACTTTCATCATTTTCTTTTAATTTTTTTTTATCTAATTTGATTTTAAATTTGAATAAATTTTTTGATTTTATATGAATTACTTTAATTTTTTCTTTAAATTTTTATCAATTTTTAAAAGAATTTCATTCTTATCCCAATTTTTTTTCTTTTCACCAATTTTGATGGGAAAAAATAATAATTTTCAACATTTCATCTTTTTAAATTTTTATCAAATTATAATTTGATAAAAAAAAAAATAAAGGTTGAAGATTCTTTTAATTGGAATTATAGTTAAATAACATCTTAAAATAGTCAAAGTTTGAGTATGTCGTTGATTGAAATGTATAATTTAATTAATTCTTTTCTTATATTTGGATAAAAATTGACACTTATGATTACATCATTATAAGTCAAATTATGGAAAAAAAATTTGAGGTGTCAAACATTTTCCATTTATAAATATCCTACATATTAAAAAAATAAAAAAATGTGGCTTTTGAATATATGTTTATCAGTTTTGTTTTATGAGCATAAACAATTAATGTTTTAATTTAAAATTTTAAAAAGTAAAAAAAAAAATAGATTGGGTTTTTTAGACATGAAAAAAATAAAATTAAAAAACAAATAAATTTATGAAATGAGATAATGTTACCTCCAACAACTTAGACCTCATCTAATCCAATCTGTTAGCTCATCCACCAGTGCCCATAAAATCTAGGAGTTGAGATGACTAATTATATTATTCTTTAAATAAGACTTAAAAATTGATAATTTATCCCATTAAGTGATTTAAAATTTTGATAGATATACATAAAAAAATAAAAAATTATATTACTAAATCATAATTCAAATTTAGATATTGTCATATTTTTTTGAGATTCATATCTAAATTCTTATCTTTTTATGTTTTATTTTTGTGTAGTTTCTATTTGTTTTTTTTTTCAATTTATTTAAGATGGAGTTGTGTGTTTTTTTTTCCCCCTAATTTAATTTGTCTATGGTTTCTATTTGTTTTTAATTATTATTATTTAGGTAAGTTATGATGTGAGTTAGATATGTGATAGACATGCGGATTTTATTGATTTAAAGTATGATGGTGGAAGATATTTTCAAATTAGATTTGTTTAGATAAACTTTAACGATTTTTAAAATTTAAAATTGGACATTGAGATGCAAAAAGAAGATTATTACTGAATAAATAAAAATCAAATTTATTAATTTTATCTGTTTGTATATTTGAGTTTTAGTTTTTTTTTTGTGTTATAATATAATATATAAGATATAGATAGATATTAACAACTTTCATGAAAAATATTATCTGATTTTTTGGAGAAGAGAGAAGGCAGGCAAATTATAATTTTTTTTTGAAAAATCGGTGAGAGAGATTAGGAAATATTTTTGATATCTTTCCATTTGAAATTTATAAATTAAAGGATAATTGTTATTTCTAAAATAAATAAATCAGTCAATAGTTTTTTTTAAATCTATTTTAAAAATTGAAAAATCAATAATTTTAGAAAATTAATTAATTTGTCCTATTAAGTGATTTAAAATTTTGAAAGATATACATAAAAAAATAGATAATTATATTATTAGATCATAATTCAAATTTAGATATTGTAATATCTTTTTTAGATCCATATCTAAATTCTTATCTTCTTTATTTTTATGTGATTTCTATTTTTTTCGATTTATTTTAGATGGTGTTGTGGGTTTTTATTTTTATTTTTAAATTTAATTTATCTGTGGTTTCTATTTGTTTTTTATTATTATTATTATTCTTTAGGTAAGTTATGATGCGAGCTAAATATGTGATAGATATGTGAGTTTTATTGATTTAAAGTATGATAGTGGGATATATTTTCAAATTAGATTTATTTAAATAGACTTTATAGATTTTTAAAATTTAAAATTAGACATTGAGAGACAAAAAAAATATTTTAACTGAATAAATAAAAATCTAATTTATTAATTTTATTTATTTGTGTATCTGATTTTTAATTTTTTTATTATATTATAATATAATATATAAGATATAAACAGATACTCACAACTTTCATGAAAAATATTATCTGATTTTTTGGAGGAGAGAAAAAGAATGCAACTTTTAATTTTTTTTTTTTTGAAAATTGGTGAGAGGGATTATGATGGAGAGATTATGAAAATAAATAAATAAATAAATCAGCCAATAAATTTTTTTAATATAATTTATAAATTGAAAGTTCAATGATTTTAGAATGAGAGTTTGGTGCTCTTAGGAGACTTTTCATTAGAAACTCCCTTTTTCTCGTATAATATACTAGCCTATCACCCGTGCTATGCGCGAGATAATTATAGATATTTATATTTGTTTTAGATTTTTTTTAATACATAAATTATGTTTTTAAAGATTTTTTATAAAAATAATTTAACAATCTTATCACTAACCATAGTGTATGAAAGAAATTAAAAAAGATACTGCAGTAACTATATACAGATTGTGTCTATAATTATTTATATGAGGGGATTTTAAATGCTAATTAGGAAATTTTAATCAAATCAATAAATGCAGGCATGTGAAAAGACATGTGGATTGAAAGAAGTTAATAAATGCTGATAAGAGAATTTTGACCAAATCAATAAATGCTGAGTTTTTTTTTTAATAAATAATTTAGAAAATTCAGATTGAGATATTAAAACTCTTAGGCCTTGGGGTTAAAAACTCCCTTTTGCTTAATATATATATATATATATATATATATATATAGATTATAAGATGAGAGAAATAAAGTGCTATCTTATTATAATGGAGGAGATCTTATAAAAAAAAACGTGTAGACATGAATGCCCTCTTATTTTATTGTGTTTACAATTATCTATATATATGAATTGTGATTTTTAAAAGTTTTTTTATTATTTTAAATGTCTTATTTTCTTTCTTTTTTTATATTATATTAAAGTTTAATATTTTGATAATAATCATATGTGTTGGACTTTTCAAGGAATTAAATGTCTTTTTTTTTATTATATTATATTAAATTTTAATATTTTGAGAATAATTATATGTGTTGGACTTTTCAAGAATTTTTTTTTTATACTTGTTCTTAATGCATTAAAGTGTTATTATGAAGGATAATAATCATATGTGTTGGGACTTTTTAAGAAATTCATATGTGTTGGATTTCAAAGAATTTTTTTTTCTGCTTGTTCTTAATGCATTAAAGTGTTATTATGAGGGTTAGACTTGAGAGTTGGGAGAAGTTAATAAATGCTAAGATTTTTTTTTTAAATCAAAAAATTAGGAAATTTAGATTGAGAGATTGGAGGTCCCACAAGGCTTGGGGTTAAAAACCCCTTTTTGCTTAATATATAGTGAGAGAGAGATTTATAATATGGCTTTGGACCATGGCAGAGGTCGAACAGGTCAGGGCCGAGCATGTTTGGGCTGAGATCACTTGGGCCTGATTTGGAGTGGGATTTGCTTGGTCGAGGCTCAGCCCCTGTCTAGGCCAAGCTAACTGGGGCTTCCCTGGAGGTGATCTTGATTGATCGAGGCCCAGGTCTGAGGTCTGCGGCCATGTGATTGACTGAGCTCCCCCGGATTTGGACTTGCTGGGCCGAGATGAGCCTCTGCTACACAGGTTTTGGGGGAGCTCGGTTAGCTCGGTGGTAAAGTCTTCTGTTCACCGACTCGGCTTATCTTAAACTCGGTTATGCCGAAATGCTACCGAGCTCGGCTGTTATGGAGCTCGACGAGTAAAGCACTCGGACACGTTATGCAGCACGGACGTGAAAGGCCGATGTGATTCCGCCGATCTGCCAAGATCCCGTTAATGTTGTTTGGCGGTTTGGTTAGATGGTGATTGCAGGATTTGTGCTGACAGATGGGAGAGTAGCTCCACGTGTCAACAGACTAATGGGAGCAGATATAAGTGCAGAAAGTATATAAGCTTGACGGCGGCCCCCATGCTGGGGATGGAACATCACTTGGTGAGAACAACCTAAATACAAAACTCTCTCCTCTCTCTCTATATCCCTGAGTGT